CCCTGTCTTCCATGAATTCAAGGTCTAATGGTGGAAACAAAAGAAAAATAAATAATTATAATATAGTACATACAGTACATGATGCTACATAGAGGTGAGCAGGGTGCTATGGGGTCACCTAGAGACGGCATGTCTGTCTCTGACTTGTAAGAATTCACAAAGTGTGCTGCCTTTGATTGGGACTTGGAATGATGGGAGTTTAAGCAGAGAGAATGCAATAGATAGGGAGTTCTGAACATGGAAAGTAGTAGGCGTCGACACATACTTAGTTCAGGCTTAACTTGTATCTGAAAAATACTCTGGAGGGACTTGGTGAAGAGCAGAAGATGGAACTTAAGCTGGAACACACATTCACACCTGCTGAACACCTATCCTCGGGGCCACCAGATGCCAACATCCATCTTCAATGAGTAAATTAGTTCATGTTCTGTCATGATGAGGAGGGACAGATAATGAAATGAAGAAGGAGTCTTTTTTAGGTTCTCTGGGTTCAGAGACGGTAAGTGCAAAAATAGAGTGGCCAAATTCAAAAGATGTTTATGATTAAATTGACAGGAGTTGGTGATACTGAAATAAGGATGGGTGACTGTGGGTGGTTGGGCACCGAGGACTTAGAGGGAGAAGAGACAGCCTCTGGGAAGCTGCCAAAAAAGAAATCAACCCAGACAACAACAAAAGCCAGATAAGTGTCCAGATGCATGACTGGCTAAGGGTTCCAGGTAAAGAGGGAGAACCCAGCAAGAGCAAATGTGTAGAACCCTGGAGACCAAGCTGCAGCAGCAGCTGTAAGCAGAGGGTGTGTGGTGGATCCTAAATAAATTTTCTGAGCTGCCACAAAGGAAAAGACTTAGTCTGTTGTCCATGGCCTTAATTTTGCATGAGGGAGGGACAGTCAGAGGTTCCAAACCAACAAGATCACTTGGGCACCCTTATTTTTAATACAAATTTGGAATTAACCCAGACCCTTCTTGAAGTAGGATGATGATATTAACATTTCTCCCTCAAGGAATGCTCTTCCTATGGGTAGCGCAGACACTGACAGAGACCTTCATTAACTCTGAAATCATTGAGGAATTATTTAGAAAGCAACTCCTGAAGAACCTAACCATGCTGCCAAAGTGCTAATGTGCCTTTTCTCGAAGCATGAAGGAGCTAGGTAGATACAAATGGATGCATGACTCTGTATAAAGAGTAAATGATGACATATCTTGTCTCCGATCCTTTCTTTTTAAAGAGGTTTCTTTTTGTCGGTGACATTTTGTGACTTAATTTTTCCTGTTCCTGACATTCTAGTGTTTTTCAATTGCCAACATCTGGATTTGCTATTGGTATGAATCAGGCTTTTTTATGTAATGAAGCCAGCTTATCTGTCACCCATCATAATTAATCCATTCTATCTTAAGTACTGTTCCATTTCCAGAGCCAATCATTATCTAATAAAAATATAAGGGACACTCTGAGTCATTGTTGTAACATTATTAGTAACAGAAATGCCTTTCAAATATGTGAACAGGTTCCCTTCACATTCTTAGAGAGGGTCACCATAACTTGGTAAAGTGTATTCCTATTCTTCCAGCAACACGAAAAAGAAGCCAATATTGCAATTTATTTACTTACCTCATGAAACCAACTTTCTAAATCCCATGGCTTTATTTCCCAGCGTTTCACTTAGTCTTGATTCTGTATTTATTCAGAATCAAGGAAACCTTTCTCCTTCTGGGGGTAATTACAGGGAAGCATCGCCTGTCAGGTCATTTTTGTCACTGTGCCTGTGTGGGCTTTCTCATTCTTTAATTGAGAAGGACTTTAATCACTGGGGATGCAGCAGTGAATGAGACAAAAGAAGGTCCTGACTTTCTTTGAGCTCCCATTGCAGTGAAGGAGACAGATAGTAAGCAAATACCAACAGTCGTGATGAGTAATGTGCAAAGCATGTAAAGAGGGTGATATGAGAGAGAGTGGTGCTGTGGAGAAGGGCTCTCTGAAGAGGTGGCATTCAAGTGAACAGTTGAATGACAGATGATGCCATTATGTGGTCACAGAACCAAGAACTAAGTGTTCCGGGAGGAAATTGCAGTTAGAGCAAAGTGACAGAATCTGGAGCCAAAGCTGTGCCAGTCGGGAGTGACATGAGCTGGGAACGTGGTGAGAGATGAGCTCAGGGAGAGTGAGAACCGTCAATGTAGGGAGTGTAGATTTCATTTCCATGAAGAGCTGCTGGTGGGACATAAGCAAGATAGCAATGTGGTCTGATTACATTTTTAAAAGATCAGTCCGGTTGCTCTCTGGATAAGGCCTGAAGGAACAAGTATGGAAATAGGGAGGGAGAGTCCGGATGAGAGAAGAGTTTGGCCTTGCACCAGAGGTGCAGAGAAGTAGACTCATTCTGGATTTGCTTAGAGGAGAAAGACAGCTTATTGATGAGTTGCCTGATGATGGATATATTATAAAAAGGGATGCATCCATTCAGTGGCAGGTTTTATTTGTTTCATAAGGACTTCAGCATCCCCTAACCATCCTATGAAGTTACCACATTTATCATTTTCAAAGACTAATTCTTTGCACAGTTGTATATTTTCCATGGTTAGAAAAAACTATGACATGACCCTTTAGATTCCAATCCATTTTCTCTTAGTGGTCAGCTGACCTTAGGTAAGCATCTTAACTATTCTATTTTTCTGTTTCCTCTTATGAAAAATAAGGAAGAACAATTTTACCTGTATCAGGGTTGTTGTCAGAAGTGACTAAGAAAATGCATGTAGAAATGTGTAGCACACAACTAGACTCTAAGCACTCAATAAATGTCAGTAACTATCAATATAAACTATTTCTGTCTTACCTCCTCGTTATGCACATTCAGGTCTCAGTATCTAGTGGTAAAGTTACTATAAAAAAATTAAGCAAATAATTTCTATTCCTTATTTCATATTCTTGCATGTGTTATTTTGATACTTTTCAAAAAAATGTCAACAATAGTTCCTGCTTAATTATATTCCCAACTTCCACATCTGATTGTGTTTATTTTTATAGTGATCCTTTTGTTGTTATTTTGGGTTTAAACATCTGTAGCCTTTTAGAGAAAATGTTTAAATACTGTCAGCTTTCATCACTTAAAATGGGGTGAGGAAGGATGGCGTTTGATCCCAAAATTTTATAAATTATGTAAAATCATAAAAGCCTAAGGCCCTGTCTTGGTAGCTTAGTCCTGTCTTGGTAGCTTAGTTAGTGCGTCATTTTGATATGCCAAGGTTATGGGTTCAATCCCCAGTCAGGGCACATACAAGAAGCACCAATGAATACAAAAATAGTGGAAACAACCAATTAATGTTTCTTTCTCTCTCTCTCTCCCACCCTGTCTCTCTACCTTTCCTTTCTCTCTTTCTAAAATCAATAACATTTTTTTTAAACTTTAATATATTGCCTCCACCAGTGCCATCACAGCATGTGGGCAATGCTTAAATGTCCAGTCAGTCCTCAGCGTGGGCCACCTGCTTTCCTTTAAACTTAGGCCCATGCAGGAACTGCTATTGGAAAGACCCCTTCACTGGGATCAGAGAATAACCTGCAAGACTTTGTATTGAATCTTTGGTTTCGGTGTAAACACTGGTTCCTGACACCCTGTCAGGCTGCAGCTGCATTGCAGACGCTGGAGATTGGTTACTTACATCTCAAAACAGGCTTCAGAACAGCGGGGAAAGTCGAGCAGGTTAACACAGCATCTGGCCAAATTTGCATGGACAGTTCTGCTTGAGAATAATAAGGAAATTCTTTTAAATTGGTTCCTCAGCTATAAAGGTGGTAGACAAATGTTTTCTTGTTATGGCTGGGATTGAGGTAAATTGAGAAAATGGTACTTTTCATGAGATACCACATTAACCTCATTTTGCAAAGCTCCGCATCTCATCTTACACTGAAGGTTGTTGGGCGAGGAGCCCCTTCTCTGCCGTAAGAATCTTAGTGTCGTCTTTGCTGCAAAACATCTTCCAGCACTGGCTGTGGAATCCTGTTCTGTGCCAAATATTCACCATGAAGGGCATACACAGCACATGTTGTTTCTGGATCCGGGTTCTCTGTTCCTTCTTTCATTTTTGATGACATGGGAAATAAAAAAATATTTTATTTCCAAGCTGTGACATAATGTGGCACCTGTAAAACAATCCCTTTTCTGATATCATTGAAGTCCCTCAATCCAAGGTGGGAGACATTACTCGGTTTAATGCTGGTTGATCGACTGTACAGTTTGTGGAATCTGCTAGTTTGGGGTGTTGGCTCCCACAATTTGTCTTTCCTAATTATAGTGCTGATTGCATAGATGCTGTCCTAATTTTTTTTTAAGTCGTAGTATGTCTAAATACAATAGGAAATGGTGATAGTCTAGATTTTCTGTAAGTCAGAAACTAATCTGTGTGTGTGTGTGTGTGTGTTTTGAAAGTTATACTTATTGGGGCTAGAACACCTGATAGCCCTGTCATTTTTCCTTCTACCTTGTCCAAAGACAGTGGGGTATGGCTATTTATGTGAGGGTCTACATGGGCATAAAGAATCATCTGTGGCCCTGGCTGGTGTGTAGCGTCATCCCATGCACTGAAAGGTCATTGGTTCCATTCCCATATGGAAGGCAGCCCGTTGATGTTTCACTCTCACCTCGATGTTTCTCTCTCCCCCTCTCGCTCTCCCTCTCACCCATGTCCTTGGGTGAGGAATTAAAAAAAAATAAAAAAGATCAACTGTGAATTCTCAGCTCTGCAGCACACACAGAAGTGAGCAGTGGGGCTCCCATCTGTCTGATGGGTTTCTTGTGGGTGCCTGCTACCCCTGCTCAGTGAAGAGCAAGTCCCCTCTCCGACCCCATTAAAATACCCCATTGTTTCACAATGCAGCACCCCAGCTTGATCATACTATTATTAATGTTTATTTGTAAGCTTTCTTTTCCCCAGAAATATTTATATGTGGACATAATTCACTTTCTATGTGTGTGTTTTTGTTTTTTTCTACTACAGACACGGGAGCAGAAAGACAGGCACTAAGAGAAAATGTGTATCCTAAATTGAGAGAATTCTGCAGAGAAAATTATGGATTAGAATTTCAGGTAACTCTGATGTTATTTTCATTCTTAATTATGTCAGCTAATTTACTGCTGTTTGTATTTGTTTCTTGTCACAATGTGGGTCTATTTAAGACTAATTTTAAGCCCTAAAGAAATTCCTCTAAGTGTGGGTAAAAAGAAACGCTGGAAAATCTAGATAAATTTTTTTTTGTCATTTTCCATGTTCTGCACTGTTATGCTGTTTCTTGGACCTTGCCTGTGATCGGCTTGTCTTTCTCTTCTAACCATGTTTATGTGCTTTTTTGACAATTTTCACTATTCTGAAAAAGGTGAAGGTTGTTGAGCACATGCCTTTAAGCTCTGGTCTCTAAAAATGTGCTTGGCATCTGAAAAATTGGGATCAACTTTCTCACAGGTATTTCCTTTCAGCAGTCTAGCCAGTCCCTGCCTTCTGTCTTGCCTTCAGCATTTCAGGAATTTGCCATTTACAAAAAAATTTAAAAAATTAACTGCTAAATTTTATGAAAACACAAGAGACAGTAAGTGCGCATATCATTGCTAACATTATGAAAACCCTAGCATCTGGGGACATCATTGATGTGGCCACCTAATAGTAAAGCACTTGAAAACTCAGATCTCTTGGACATCCAAAAATTGAAAAAAGAAATGACTCCTGCAACAGATTAACATTTAGGCAGACTGTTTTGCAACCTCATTTACAATGGAAATCTTCATTGCCCTGTGCTAGGTCTTAACTATGTATTTGTATTGTTAGGTGAAGAATGTGTACTAGAGGTTTGTGGGGCACCATTGTTAGTGGAAGGAAATTTCACCCTTCATTTGTTTCCTCTTGATCATGTATATTGTATCTTGTTAGACCTCATGATGCTTTCTGTTATGTTGCATAAAGTAATATCTCAGATTACTTCAATCTCAATACATACGAGTAATTAGTCAGCCACAGGGCTCTGACATATTAGTACATATTGAGTACTTATCATTTTCTTGATAACTTGTGAACCTCAATTAGATTTCTTGTTGTAAGTTTAGCATTACTTTCTTTGAGGAATCTGGTTCTGCTGATAATACTATCGCAACTCTAACAAAAATGGCAATCTGTCAAGATTCCCAAAGACAACCGTGGGGGTTGTTACTATCAAGGAAGAAATGTGTGCAAGTATATTAATCCCATCATTGAGGGAGTTTGGGTTTGTGTCATTTTTGCCAGTAGAGGGAGGAAGTCTTTGATCTACAGAACACCTTCCATAAAACATGGTATTGATTAGGACTAGTGGAGGAGAAAAACAGAGAAATACATTTTCTAAATCACAGGCAGGCACCGGAAAAGACAGAGAATGCCAAAGGAAAAACTGTAGCAAGAAGATTCATGGAGTAAATGGATGGCAAAGATTATTTGAGGCAGATGCAATGAATCAGTTGATGAGATGCTGGACAGCAGTGCAAACAGTGGTGAGCAGAGCAGACTCGGAACTGAGCCCCAACTGTCTACACTGAGTGACTTAACCTGCCAGTCCTTCAGTTTAGTATCTAAAATGGGGATGGTGACAACTAGTGGGTCTCAGGTTGTGTTTAGATTAAAATATGCAAGGTTGCATTGGCTTTCCAGCTTCTAAGCTTAACAGGAGCCCAAATGATATAATAACTGAACCTCCTAAGAATACACATATTGGTATGGTATTTTCTGGTAGATTATTGATCTCTATGCCGATATGTTTTCTAGAGAGATGGTTCTCTTTTCAATTGCAACAAAATATGGTGCCAAAAGCTTCATGGAAAGAAAAACAAACCAATTTACCCACACAGAAGTCTAGAATCCATCCTTGGCTGTGCAGTGAACCCAGGAGAAATTAATTTCCTTGAGTTACTCAACCATCCCAGTCTATGTCATGCCCCTTGCCACCTACAGTGTTTTTCAATTTGGTTCTTCCCCTGTATCACCTCCCAAGTCTATTTACTCCTAATAATCCTCCTATCTGATCTTAAGTCATGCCCTCTCCTCTTGCCTGCTGCCCTGCAGATACGTGTCCTCTATCTGGCTCCTTGAACACTTGAAGCCCATTCCCACTTAAGGATTTTGCCCTTGATGTTCGCTCTCTATGGAATGGCTCATCTGCTCATCTGCTCATCTTCCTGTTGTCCTTCATGTCTCCACTAAAATATCACTGCCTTAATGACTCAATCTAAAGTAACCACTTAGGCATGCTTTTCTGTCATCCTATTTTAGTTCTTTGTGTTGCATGTGTCAATGTTGGATTTTTTTTCTTGTTTGCTCATGCATTCACTAATTTGTTGTCTTTCTCCCTGTAGAGTGTAAGTTCCACAGAACAGGGACTTGTCTGCCTTTGTGGCAGCCATATTCCTGGTCCTAGAATAGTTTCTCTCACAGATGAAAACTCCGTACGAATGTGTTGAATGAATGAATGAATGAATGAGTGCATGAGCATGTGAATGAAGGAAGTCTCAGCCCAATATTACTTGCTTGTGGGAGACTTCTCTGGTCTCCTGTCTCTCCCAGAATATGTCTTATACCTTTCTCTTTGCTCCCCTAAAATCCTATGCATAACTCCCAACCATTCATCCAGTTCATTCAAGACATATTTGTTGACCCTTGACCACATGGCAGTCAACATTGCAAGTGTTGGAAATACAAGAGCAAACCAATATTGTTAGAAGAGGTGAACAACAAATAAATTTCAGTGCTAATAGATGCTTTTGTTCCAGTAAATGTTTCTAATAAAGTAAAGCAGTTATAAGGGGGCAAGGTATGCCAGAGAAGGGCTCAGTAATAATACTACCTTTGAGAAGAGATCTGCAAAAAGTGATGGAGCAAGTCATGGAGACATTAGAGAAGAAGGTGCTGGGTATGGGCAACAGGGCCTGAGGGATAAGCATGTTTAGAATATTCCAGGAACAGAAAAGAAGCCAAGCAAAGTGGAGTAAGAGAAATTATTGTAGGAAGTGGCATCAAAGTCAGATCATATGGGACTTTATGGGCCAAGATTAAAGGACTTAGAATTTTACTGAGTAAGGAGTGGCATTATATGACTTATGAGTAAGAGTCACACAAGCTCTGTGAGGTGCTAGAATGGGTGGGGAAGAATGGTAGAAGTAGAAAGGTGATTCAGGTAAGAAATGGTCATGATATGGACTAGATCAGTGGTCAGCAAACTCATTAGTCAGCAGAGCCAAATATCAACAAGTACAATGATTGACATTTCTTTCGAGAGCCAAGACTTTTAAACTTAAACTTCTTCAGAATAGACTCTTCTAGGCCGTGGTATTTTGTGGAAGAGCCACACTCAAGGGACCAAAGAGCTGTATGTGGCTTGTGAGCCACAGTTTGCCTACCATGGGACTAGAGCAGGGGAGACAATGAGACACCTGGTTAAGTAAATTTTTTCATCATCTGTCTGTAGGATCAGAAAGTTATCATGGCTGGATGTGTCTTATTCATCTTCTCCCAATGATTAATCAAGTATCTGGCACATAGTAGGCTATTTAGTTAAATCTTTATTAAACTAAATTGATAGGATATGGAATTACACATACTTTTATCTATCTGTCCACGTGGCAGTCTGTTTTCTAGTACGTCCTTTTTACTTTTCAACTAAGATGATTAATGAAAATGCTCCAAACCTTCAATTCTGTGTGTAATAAATATGTAGGCTGACTGCTCAGAGATGGAAACAACTGAATGGAAAGAATAGCAGCCCCACTCAGAGCAGAGAACACACACGGCTTCAGGAAAAAGCAAGGCGTTTAAATGATAGGTTATTTGACTTACCAATGTTCAGTAAGTGCCCTTACCTTTGTCAACATGTTTCTTAGAAGTTTGCCTTCTCTTTCCATGTCACTAGGCTCTGTCTTTACTCAGGCTTCCTTCTCTTAGCAGCTGAATGACAGTGGCAACCTCTTCCTACCTTACCTTACCTTGGGGTGTTTGTGTGTTCTGGTCCAAATTGTTTACAGCTGCTCAGATGATATTCTTTAAACAATACTGACCAGATTTCAATCATTGTAAGAGGCATTCTTTTCCTCCCATTTTGACATCTCAGAAATCAGGATTCGTCTTACAAATTAGTGGGTGTCATATGTGATGATGTGATTGGCAGTGCATCTTTTTTAATGGAATGTACATTATTGGAGCATCCTACAACTGATATTTTAGATTCCATAAATTGATACACATTATTTCATTATTAGGTCTAGAGGAAACAGCATACATTTTTCTGTTAGACAAGGATTCAGAATCTGGGTCCACAAATTACGAGTCCTATGACGCTGGGCAGAGAGCTTGATCTCAGACCACATTTTTAGAATTTAAAGAAAATTCATTAAAAGAGGTTTAGTTTGACAATAATCCATTTTACAGTTGACCTCTCTGTAAAATGAGTGGGACAGTGTTTATTTCCCAGGATTGTTATGAGAATTCAATGCAACAACACAAAGTGTCTGGCACATGGAAGGCACTCCACCAGAGGCTGGATGAAGACTTGGGCAGGAAACCCATACTCCTTTTAGACTAAACAAACAGTTACATTCTCTGTGCACATCAGAGTTCTAGGTTAAGTTAAATTATGTGAGTCTTATACTGGCTTGACCTTGCTAATATTTACTAAATTGAACAATTAGTGTCACTCTGAAGGTTCTTCAGGAGCTGTTTCCACCTACCTTTTTTCCATCGCTTCTTTCTTCTCTCACCACATCCTTCCCGGTTTAAAAGGAGCCCCATCTCCTCCGGTGCACACATTTTTCCTCCCAACTGCCTGCCTACTGAGGAATCTCAAAATGCATTTTGCTTCCTGCGTGGCCAAAACACACCGTTGGCTTTATAACTGACAGGACCTGTTGTGACGCCCTTGGTCTTTTCTCCATGTTGTCAACTAATCTGCCCTTTTCCATTTCCTAGTAATCAGATGTCCGCTTCTTTCTCAGGTGAAAGGCATATCCTCTCGTTGAACCACACATCATTTCCCTCGGACCAGCTCTGCGATTTGTCTAGCTCACTTTGCGTTTCGATA